TACCAGACAACTCTGCTGAGTAAACAAGCTGAGCTGGGCAGGAAGGAGGAAGTTATGGGAGAGTCCCTACTCCGCCAGCACCTGCAGCTCTGTCATCCCCCCACTGTGGCTTGGTGACTCTGACAAAACTGAGTGGGAGTAGCTGTCCAGAGGGCCCTTCAACTGTACCTGGAACCTGTCCCATGGCCCTATCTTCTCCATGGTGTTGTCCTCCTCCTCCCTGGGTAGATTTACCTACTGTTTGTCACAGGTTGGCAATTCAAGATGCTCAGGCAGGCATCTGTAAAAGGGTTCAAATTCTGAGCTAAACAAAGTAGACATGGTGCTGGCTCTGCAGTAAGAGAAGAGAATATCCAAGTCAGATTCTCATTCATTCATTGACTCATTCATTGATTCATACATTATATCCATGAATATTTATTGAACACCTATAACATCCTGGGCACTATGCTAAGCACTGTGCAACCAAAAAGGAATTAAATCAAGCATGATCCTTGCCTTCATGAAACACATAATCTAGTTGCATAGATGAAAAAACAGTAAGTAGCAAATAAAAGATTATAAAACTGTCATATGTAATAAGGAAACAAATAGAAGGCTAAAAAAGATTAAGGGGTGAATAGGGGAATTTAGAAAAACTGATCCTACAACACACGGTAGACTTCACATGCTTGTGCTTGTCCAGTTCTCTTTCACCATTTCCCTTGCAATTTGATGGAGTCTTGTGACTAGTTGGACCAAATATTGGTGTCTGCTGCAGGACGGTTCTATGATGAAAAATAATCTATCATCTTTCCCACAATCTGCCCCCATTTCTCCACTATCTTCCCATACCCACATATAAGGGGATGAATTAAGGGAGGGATTTTTCTTTTTACTTTAGCTATAGACAACAACCAAAAGGAAATAACTTTTTCTGTGCTTTATTATTAGTTTTTTTTAAAGAAGTTTCACTTCCTTTCCTAAAATATGTGACATTAGCTTAGCAGTCTACAGGTGAGCAGCATGGAAACTGATAATGGAGGGCTAGAAACACCGCAATTCTTACCTGGCTACTAATAAAACTAACTCCTGCATTAATTTGGAAAGATTATGTGGCTAAAGAAAATGTGGCCTGAGGGGAAAAAATTAGAAAACAATGTTTCTAGCGTGTATTGGTTGCTGCTGGCTATGTTTTGGCAAGGCTTTATAAGCTCAAAAAGGAATTGGTTGATTTGTAAGCATAAATGAAAAGGAATAGAGATATTTCAGAAAAGTAAGGATTTGCAAAATTGGAAAACCTGACAGGTTTTAGACTCCAAACTCTAAGAGAGAATTTGGGGTAGCCTTGAAAAAGTCCATTAAAATAAATCCGGGGCAGCCCTGGTGGGCTCAGCGGTTTAGCGCTGCCTTCAACCCAGGGTGTGATCCTGGGGACCCGGAATCGAGTCCCACGTCGGGCTCCAGGCATGGAGCCTGTTTCTCCCTCTGTCTGTGTCTCTGCCTCTCTCTCTCGCTGTCTCTCTGATGAATGAATAAATAAAATCTTAAAAAATAAAATAAAATAAATCCGTAGAAAGGCCAAATTAAAAGTATGGCTTCTACACCTATTGATAATACCTCTCAGTAAGTTCAGGAACTTTAGGGCAAAGATAAAAGTAAGGAATTCAATTGGTAAAGAGCCACAGAAAGCTCAAAATATAGGTGTAGGTTTCCCACAGAAAACTATAATCTCATGTTTACTCAGGGTACCCGCTGTACTGGCAAGAGAGAAAGACAGATAGAAACAAATTAGTGGGGAGAGAGAGAAAATGGGGCAAGAAAGCAAAAGCATGTAGTAGATCTGGGAGCCATGTTTTAAAAAGAACCATAACAGTTTTAGCAAATATAGTTTACTGAAATCAGAGACAAGCAGCTTACTAAATAATTTTGGGAGAGATTTATAGTCAAAGGAACCATAAACCCAACTGGACTTGTAGCCTTCCAACATTGTACGAGTAGCACATGAACCTTACGCTACCCAGACTCTAGACTGTGAGCTCCAGGTTTGGACTTCATGTTTGTTTCTTTTGGGAAGAAGTTTGGTGTGTTCTGCAGTGGGAACAAGAGTGAAACAAAAGAGTGGCCTATAGTAGAACTAATGACCATTCTTTTCTTTCTTTCTGGCAAATGGAAAGATTACATGTCCTTGTTCCCTTGTAGTAAGGTGGACCAAGAGACTGTGCTGAAGCATTTAAGAGCTACCGGGAGACCCCCACCCCCAGGAGCTAAGGATCTCACTGGTGCCTCTTTTATAAGAAGAGCACTAATCCCACTTAGGAGGACTCTACCCTCAAGACATAGGCACCTCAGAATGGCCCCACTTACTAATACTATCTTCACTTTGGGGGGTTAGAGTTTCAACATATGAATTTGGAGGGGACATATTCTGACCACAGCACTGTCTGTAATGAATGAGAAGAAGGAATAGAAAATGACCCGAGACAGGAAGTCATGGAATTATCCAGACATTCCCAAGATGCAAATGTTGCCTAGAAGAATGTAGACACAGAGATGATGATCTATAGGTTCATCATTGAAAAGCAATCCCTAAAGAGGGGAGAGTTACTTCCTAAAGGAGCAGGGTGTGGAGCCCCCAGAGCTGGAGCAAGGAGAATATGGGGCTCTTAGGAAGGCCAAGACTCTATCTAGAAGACAGTGGTGTCCCCTTGGCCTGGTTTTCTAGTTGCCCTGAAGATTACTTGTCAGTGTATATAGGTGAAAAGCCATTTCAATTCACTAATGAATTCCCAAAGTGCTTTCTAATATCTGCCCCCCACTCCCTCCTCCTCCTATAAGAAAAGACCAATAACACTTTAAAGGTATTTCCTGGGATCCCTGGGTGGCGCAGCGGTTTGGCACCTGCCTTTGGCCCAGGGCGCGATCCTGGAGACCCGGGATCGAATCCCACGTCGGGCTCCCGGTGCATGGAGCCTGCTTCTCCCTCTGCCTGTGTCTCTGCCTCTCTCTCTCTCTCTAACTGTGTGTGAGTATCATAAATAAATAAAAATTTAAAAAAATAAATAAATAAAGGTATTTCCTTCCTTTTCTTACTGTTCTTGTATAATTTGGCAATAGCCCCTCAGGAAAGGGATCCTGGGATAAATCAGAATTCTGTCTACTAGGAGTCACCTCCCCTTCCCTAACACTCTGTGGCTCAGTCAGGAGCAGCTCCCAGCCTACATTAAACAATGTCTTAACTCACCCAAATGTTATTGGTTTTCTGGATTTTCTCCCATACATAGATGGCTTTTAATGAAGCTAGACCAAAACAGGTAACTTCTGTAAACTCGGGAAAAACTAGTCTGGATCAACATTTAAAAGAAGTGATGGTGATTTCTAAACAGCTGGAAGCTGAAGGTCCTGCTGTCCTTCTTCAGAAGCTCCACTACCTAACCATTCAACCACCTCCATTCTTCTCCACCTGCCTTTTGTCTCTGCTTTGTTCCTATGCCATTATGGGTACCTAGAAGACCCTACAGAGCACAGTTGAAGCCCTCTCTGAAGCAAGCAGAGGCTTCTTACATCTCATTTCCCTCAGGCTTGGATAAATGCCACCCAATCCCACCTTTCCATCTGGTCTTTTCTTCTCCTCCTCCTACTGCTTTTTTGCCATCTTCCAGTTCTCAAACACTCCATTCCTTTATCTTCTATATTCTTCAAACACAGTCGGTTTCTTCCTTGGACTTACTACTTTTGGCAAGAAGAGGTGAATTATTGGCATTCCAGGTTCAAGGATCAACCCTTAGTATAAGCTCTGTGTGCACAGAAGGAAGGACAAACAAGAGCCTGTGAAATTATCTCTTCTTGGACTTGTTCTTCAGAGATTCTCCATTAGATCAAAACATTTCATGTTAGCATTTTTTTTATGATAGTCACAGAGAGAGAGAGAGAGAGGGAGGGAGAGAGAGAGAGAGGCAGAGACCACTGCGCCACCCAGGGATCCAATGTTAGCATTTCTTAATTGTAGAAGGAACACATGCAGGTTAAAAAAAAAAAAAAAAAAACACTAAAGAAAGATAAACAAGTCTCTCACCCTGCCTTCATTCACAACCTTCAGCCTTACTTCTCAGAGGTAAACATTTGACAGTATTTTTTTAATCCTGCAGAATACCATACACATCAGCAAGGGACATACATATATTTTCTTTTTCTTTTCTTTTTTTACACGAATGTACGACATGCAATGTTTTTATCTTTTCCAATTAAGATGTCAACTCTGTCTTTTCACTCATATCAGCACATACAGATCTACCTCAATCATAGGCACCTACTTTGTATTCTATTGCATAGATGTGAAAGTTTTAAATATGCAGATCTTTCATGTGATATATTCCTTTTAAATATTATTTCATTTATGTATTTTATTTTATTTTTTTAAAATTTTTTTTATTTATTTATGATAGTCACACAGGGAGAGAGAGAAGCAGAGACACAGGCAGAGGGAGAAGCAGGCTCCATGCACCGGGAGCCCGATGTGGGATTCGATCCCGGGTCTCCAGGATCGCGCCCTGGGCCAAAGGCAGGCGCCAAACCACTGCGCCACCCAGGGATCCCCATCATTTATGTATTTTAAATAATCTCTACACCCACTGTGGGGCTTGAACTCATACCCCCCAAGATCAAGATTTGCATGCTCTACCAACTGAGCCAGTCAGGCACTCCTCATGTGATAAATTGTTTTAGGGAGATTTTTCCTTTATTCCTTTAATCTTCTTTGCTATTTATTATTATTATTATTATCCTTGGAAATCCAAATCTTTGATCATAGTTCACAAACTAGTAAACTGAATTTAACAGCAGGGGAACTGGGCTTGTGATGAAGCAAAGTATAAGTAAGCGGCCATTGACAATGAAGCTCTAGCACACATTAAAATCACCTGTGAAATAATTTGAATCAATGGAAAAACATTATGTAATTTACCAAAATTCCTAATATACTTTTTTTTTGCAGTTTTAGACCTTTATTTGACAATCAACAATTAGTTCTCATCCACATTAACTGCCTGTAGATTTTTGAAGGTGGTGACAGGTACGTGGGTAACCAACATATAGGGCTTGTTTGGTGAATATTCATCCACATTATGTTTTCTGGACAACTGCACATGGATACGGTATGGAACATTCCTTATTCCTTTGGCCCAGAGAGCGTGGTTGAGCCTGGTGTCAATGCACACATCTGGAGTTCCCATCTCCTTCACAGCAAATTTCCGGATCTCTTTGAGTGCCTGAGGGGCATGCTTCTTGAAATCCGTGCCATGGATGCACTTGTGAATGTTGATGGTGTATTCTCTAGTCACTACCTCATTAATGGCGGAATGTCCCTTCTTCTTCTCCTCACCACCTTTCTTTGTGGGAGCCATTCTGCTGGGCCTGGTTGGAAAGGAGGTTAGACCTGACTTTTAAGAGCCATAGAAGGATAGACACCTGGGTGGCTCAGTCTGTTGAGTATCTGACTCTTGATTTTAGCTTGGGGTCATGATCACAGGGTCATGGAATTGAGTCCCATGTTGGGCTCCACATTCAGCACAGAGTCTGCTTAAGATTTTCTCTATCTCGGGGCAGCCCTGGTGGCTCAGTGGTTAGTGCCGCCTTCAGCCCAGGGTGTGATTCTGGAGACCCGGGATCGAGTCCCTCGTCGGGCTCCCTGCATGGAGCCTGCTTCTCCCTCTGCCTCTGTGTGTGTGTGTGTGTGTGTGTGTGTGTGTGTGTGTCATGAGTAAATAAATAAAATCTTTAAAAATATATATATTTTCTCTCTCTACACCCTATACCCTCTGCTTATACTCTCTTTCTCTATAAAAAAAAAAAAGGAAGGATCCATGGAAGGAAAACTAGAACCTTTTCTAGACTTATGGTATCAGATGATGACGATGATGATGACAACAGTAATGACAGCAAAGACTGGCCATATCGAGGTTCTCAGGGTTAAAATAATCATCTTTTGTTTAAAAAAATTAGTGTGTGAATCAGTGAATATTTAAAATTTTGTGATAGGTTTGGAAAACTCATGCTAAGAAAAGGGGAAAATAATCTGTAAAAAGGTCACTTGAAATGTAATGGGATTGCCATTTTAACAAATGACATTCCTGTGTCTGGGAAAGTGTCTGATCTTTCCCTCCTTCTGCTCTATACTTCCACTGAAAGAACTTTTATAAACATTCAAAAATCTTAAGATAATAACAGGTTCAGATTTTCAAATACATAACATAAACAATATGTCCATAAATTATAATGCACAGAAAAGTATTCTTTAAGATTAAGAATGTCAGATCTAAATTTACTTGTTATTTTTGGCACCTAAAGTTGTGCCTTGCACATGGTGGATATTTAAAATACCCATGAATTTTGATTTGATTCTCATGGGTGGGTCTTGAGACCAGGATCAACACTTTGTTAGAATCTAGAAGTCACATTCCAAGCAGGGTCATACCATTAGTCTGAGTTCTCAAAAATGTTTGAAAACTAGCTCACTTGAAAACAACTACAAGGACCTCTTAGATTCACAGTGTGGAATTCTTTCCAGAGTTTCTTTTCTAAGAATTTTTTTGTGGTTTCTGAACCCCATTCCTGACAATGATGATGATAGTGCCAAGAAACAAAGTACTACAGTTAAAACAAAATCCATAACTATTGGTTTTCCAATGTGCTTACCATGAGAATCTTTCACTCATTTTATAAAAGCTAAAGTAAATTGGTGTTAAATTATAGATTTTCAAAAGTGTAAAAGTCTTTCAAATATTACTTGGTCTACTCTCAAGAGAAAATTCTTGACTCCTGTCCACACCATTAGTATATTACTCTATTGCCATGGAGCACTGAACTTCTCAGTAATGTCTTCTCCAAACAGAGCCAGGTATAGAGGACTGAGCAATCTTCAATAGACTCAGAACTAGAACCATCCACTGCTTCAGTGATGGCAGGGGTAGAGGTCAGGGTACTGGACTCCTCTGCTGGGACTGGGAGAAAATTCAGATTGGCAGGCAGAACTCAGACTCTCACAATTACAGGAACCTGTAATAAGCACAGGGTGATAATTAGTATCTGGGAGATACATGACTGGGGGAGCACAGTGGTGGCAACCGCAGGAGGTAGTGTTTGGAGACGCGAGCAGAGCAGATAGCATAATAAGTCAGGATGCAGCTCAGTCTGAAAGGAGTTTCAGGGGCAGGACTGCAAATCACATGCTCTGGTGTCTATAAAGCCCCTAAACCTGACCTTCCACCTGCAGCTCTGCCCTCATAATGTGCCAGCTACCTTCTCACCTTTAATATTCCAGCAAGCTAGCTTTCTTTCCAACCATAGACTATCGAGCTCCCTTGCATCCCAGAGCCTAGGTCATTCACATCCATCCTTAAATACCCTCTCCTTACAAAGGCTTTCTCAGGACACTCTCTACCACACAATCCCATTTAATTATTTGCATAACCTTGAGGAGTTTCCTCCTCATTATTTATCTCCACAGTAATGTAAGCTCAATGAAAGGAAGGTATTTGTTTGTCTTGTTTCTTATGTACTCAATAATACCAGGCACTTTTGTAGGTTCGTATCATATTCTGGGGGTTTATTAAACATTTAAATGTATGACTGAATGAACAAATGAACTAATTAATACACTGTTAACAAATTAATTACTCTAGCTGGGATAGGAGACGGACAAGATGGAAATTTCTGTAACTAAAAATGTTTGAAACCAAATCCTTGGGGCGTCTGGGTGGCTGGCTCAGTGATTGAGCATCTGCCTTTGGCTCAGGTCGTCATCCCAGAGTCCTGGGATCGAGCCTCACGTCAGGCTCCCTGCTCAGCGGGGCATCCACTTCTCCCTCTGCGTGTGTCTCTGCCTCCCTCTCTCTGTCTCTCTTGAATAAATAAATAAAATCTTAAAACAAAAAAGAAATCAAATCCTTGATGAAATAGCAGGATCTAGGAAGAAGAAGAAAGCTATCACCAGATACAAAAGTATTAATAAATGAAGGGAATGAACACAGATGGCAGGAGGGAGGTTGGGGGAGGAGGTTGTGCTGAGTAGCTTGAGCCTCAATGGAGAATAAACTTTTAGAAGAATGGAAAAGCCTGGGTTTGGACATTGTAACGGAGAATGCCAGCCAACGCTCCCTCTCGTTTTGAGAAATGTGGGAGAACAAAATAAACCTTATTCAAGAGGACAGAGGGCACATTTTAGTTAGGAGACAGTTAAGGGAGATTTGGACAAAGCCATTTGCATAAAGGTTATGGATGCAATGGGATTTGTTCACGATGGTAAAGTGGGGAAAGTGGGGAGTGGGGAGGCAACATCTTTAGGAGACGTGTGGTGGGAGGGAAGAAGAGGCTAGCAGTAAGAGGGGCAGAGTCACCTGAGGGACAAGGGAGGAAAAAAAATTGTTTTGAAATGTAGGAATAAAGAGATGATCATCATAGCAGAAATGATGCGCCTCAAATACGGAACTCGGCTGCAAGTTCACAGGAAACTTTGCAATACGCGGTTTAATCTCAGAGAAGAGGGCCCCAACCATCCTGCCTGACAATTTGGACTCACACATACAGCATAGCTTTTCACTTAAATGCTACAGAATCATGGTTTTGTGCCAGGCACTGGTAGTGGGAGGTAGCTATGAAGGCAAGTTAGGCTAAGAAAAGACTAATACCTTTCTTTCCCCTTCTCTAACAATTCACACGGTTGTGTAGCCCACTTAGTCTTCCCAAGTAAATACGGCAAACCCAGTGGATGGGTACTGACAGTAACCAGTTCCCTGTGATCTGCCCACCCAGAACCATAACCAGACACCCTACTTGTAGCACGGTGGACCACGAAGGGCCCACCAATTCTCTTAAGGGGGTAGAGGATCACTGAGTCACTGAATATAATCCTTGCTCTACAACCGAGCATTGATATGGATTCTTAAATCATACGCAATTATGTAACATTGCAGTGTAAGAGGTAATCCGTCACATTAAACACTGGTTTAATGGGATACATCCTATAAATAAAGGTGCTGTACATATGCTGCTCAATGTGCTTGTCTCAACCGATCTTGAAAGGTGAGGACTATCATCCCGCTTTTACAAATAAAGATACAGTGGGACGCCTGGGTGGCTCAGCGGTTGAGTGTCTGCCTTTGGCTCAGGGCGTGATCCTGCTTCTCCCTCTGCCTGTGTCTCTGCCTCTCTCTGTGTGTCTGTCTCCTATGAATGAATAAACAAAATCTTAAAAAAAAAAAACATAAGAGTCTCAGAGGGGTGCAATTATTACACACACACACACACACACACACACACACAGTGCCCCCCCTGCTCCAAAGCCTATGTTTTTTCGAGTACACCTCACCTCACCCTGGAGCCACACACGGTAAGGTTCAGTTTCTCAGTAGTGGTTACATTTTGAGTCAGAGCAAAGCTGCTTTGAGGAAAGTAAAGGTGGAGGAAACATGGTGGTTAGATGTAGCTAGTTTGAACTTTTGGGGGATCAATTAGTGTTTCCTGAATAACCATGTCTCCCCTGCCTCTCCACACACCTCTGATCAGCGTGGTGGACACTAAGAACTGGACAGTCGTCCAGGGCCTGGCAGTGTTGGGACATACCTAATAAAAGAGGCAACCCAAAACACTCAGTCTAATGTTCTGTGGGTGATCAGAGGCGAGAACGGTCAGGGTGAATTAGGCTGGTGATCTGTCCAGAAGGGGGACAGAAGATCACGAAGGTCCTGGGACTTGAGCTGGGCTTTGTTGTGAATCAGCTTGTGAAAGAGAAACCAGAATTTGTCCCTTGAGTGTTTCCTATAAGTGACTAGGTTTTGGGTAATCGTCTGGCCTGAGTGGGAGTTGGCCTAGGAAGGGGGGTGGCTGCAATAGGGGAGATCCTGGCACTGTCTGCTCACACCTAGCTAAAATTTACTACTCTTATCATCCGGCAGCCGCACTGATTCGGGAAGAGTAAACAGGGTCCCCCCGGTGGCTTGTCGGTTGGGTGGAAACAAAGGTGACAACGGGAGGGGGTCTGTCCTCAGTCCAGTCCCCGAACTGTTGCGAGAAAAGTCGGTGTGTCAGCCAGAGTGGGTCCACTTGCAAGAAGAAAGTGAAAGCTCTCGGGGGCCGGCGAAGCCCTCTTCCCCTGTCCGGAAGCTGCCCTTGAGCAGCCTGGAAAGCCCCAGAGCTTGGCCCACCCGGAGCCCTGCAGCAGCAGCAGCAGCAGCAGCAGCAGCAGCAGCGGCGGCATCGAGGCCCAGGAGCGGCAGCGGCAGCACCAGCATCGAGGCCCTGCCTGCAGCAGCACCAAGCAGCAGCAGCACCAGCAGCACCAGCATCGAGGCCCAGGAGCGGAAGCGGCAGCACCAGCATCGAGGCCCTGCAGCAGCACCAGCATCGAGGCCCTGCAGCAGCACCAAGCAGCAGCAGCACCAGCAGCACCAGCATCGAGGCCCAGCAGCGGCGGCAGCAGCACCAGCAGCACCAGCAGCGACAGCGAGGCCCGTCAGCACCAGCAGCACCAGCAGCACCAGCAGCAGCGCCAGCGCCAGCACCAGCAGCACCACCAGCAGCACCACCAGCAGCACCAGCACCAGCAGCACCAGCAGCGGCGGCGGCGAGGCCCGAGCCCGGCGCCCCATGGAGAAGCTGCAGACGGTGCTCGACCTGCAGCTCAGGCAGCACAGGGCGCTGGGCTACGGCCTGGTGAGCCTCCTGACGGCGGGCGGGGAGCGCCTGTTCTCCACCGCCCTGTTCCAGTGTCCCTGCAGCGCCGCCTGGAACCTGCCCTACGGCCTGGTCTTCCTGCTGGTGCCCGCGCTCGCCCTCTTCCTGCTGGGCTACGTGCTGAACGCGCGCACCTGGCGCCTGCTCACCGGCTGCTGCGCGCGCACCTCGCGCTCCCGCTCCCGCGCCCGGCGCTGCGGCGCGGTGGTGCGGGGCGCCGTGGTGTGCGCGCAGCTGGGCGCCTCGGCCGCGGTGGCGCCGCTCACCTGGGTGGCCGTGGCGCTGCTCGGGGGCGCCTTCTACGAGTGCGCGGCCTCCGGGAGCGCGCCCCTGGCGCGGCGCCTGTGCCGGGGCCGCGCCCCCGCCTGCGAGGCCCAGCTGCCGCTCGCGCCCTGCCTGCCCGCCCAGGGCCCCGACGCGCAGGGCGTCCTCAGGGAGCTCAAGGCGCAGTCGCAGGTGAGGCGCGGGCGGGGCCCGGGGCCGCAGCCGGGGGGGGGGGGGGGGGGGGGTCGGCCTGCACCGACCCGGGCGCCGGGGGCGAGCAAACCAGAGCGGCGAACGCTTCAGGAAAAGGAAGGACAAGGAGGGAAGGCGCGCGCGGAGCCCGAGAGCCAGCCCCGAGGTTCCGTCCGGGTCGAGCTGTGCGTCCGGCTGCAAGCGAGCAGAGTTGCTGCAGCAAAATGGGTCGTCCTGGCCCGAGGCCACCAGCCCGCACTCCTTCCCAGAGTCTTGAAAACGAACGCTGGTTTCTTTGGCTTCGCCGAAATTCCGCGTTTGGGATTCCGGCGGGCAGATGGCAGCCTCCTCCCCGGGCCCTGGACGTGACCTGGAAGGCGGCCCGTGCAGCAGTTGCATGGGGGGGTTTGCGAGGTTACCAACCCCTTCTTTCTCTTAAGAGACGAAGACCTAAAACTGTTGCTTGTTCGTCATAATCAACTGTGGGCAGTTCAGACTTTATGGAAGGATTTTTCTTTTTTTTTTTTTTTTAAAGATTTTATTTATTTATTTATTCATGAGAGACACAGGCAGAGGGAGAAGCAGGATCCATGCAGAGAGCCCGATGTGGGACTCGATCCCGGGTCTCCTGGGTCACGCCCTGGGCCGAAGGCAGGCCCCTCAACCGCTTAGCTACCCCGGCTGCCTGGATTTTAAAACTCGTTTCTAAAAAAATGTGACTAAATTGCTGTTTTGTTGTGTTTTCCGAAGGTGCTGGGCTGGATGCTGATAGCAGTTGTCATCATCTTCCTTCTGATTTTTATATCTGTCTCCCGATGCCTATCTCCAGTTAGTTTCCTGCAGCTGAAATTCTGGAAAATCTATTTGGAACAGGAGCAGCAGATCCTTAAAGCTCAGGCCACAGAGCATGCCATGGAACTGGCAAAAGAGAATGTTAAGTGTTTCTTTGAGTGCTTACACCCAGAGGAATGCAATACCCCCAGCATGAAAGACTGGCAGCAAATTTCATCTCTATATACTTTCAATCCGAAGGAGCAGTACTACAGCATGTTGCACAAATACGTTAACAGAAAAGAGAAGACTCATAGTATCATATCTAAAGAAGGAGATGCAGTGATTCCTGTTCTTGGCTTTGTAGATACACCTGGTATAAAAACTGCTGCTGAGTTATGACCTTATTAATGAATACACAGAAAGTGCTTTTGAGTTATTGCTTCATTAAAAAAAAAAAAAACGTTGGTATTGTCTGCTTGCTTTTTTTCTCCGATTTTTCAAATTGTGAAAACAATTTTTAATCAAATAAAAAATTATAACTTTACCTATTTATTATATTCATTATATTAAAAAAGGAAGCAAAGTCAAATGATTCACTCAAAGTGACAAACTGGAACTAGATCAACAGGAGATTTTGTGTGTCTCTCTTCATTTTGTTTTCACAAGTTTGTGGGATACCCGTGAAATACATCACTCACTTGTGAGGAATTGAAGGTTAGAGTGGTTATGTTGCTAGGCCAAGGTCATACAGTCACTGGGAGGCAGAACTAAATCTAGGGGACTGAGCCTCTCTGGATTGCGTGGTTCAAAGTGGCCACTTGGTGTTTTTATTACTGGCCAGGTTTTCCCATTTTAGTCCAAAGTGGCCACTTGGTGTTTTTATTACTGGCCAGGTTTTCCCATTTTAGTCCACATGCCCTCATGAGCAGAACAGATGTAGATGTCCTTAGTGACCCTTAATGTTTTTCATCTCATTCAGGAACTTGGTAACTGTTGATAGCTGAGACCACTTTGAATAAACACAGTGATATCTGGACACAAGTTATTTCAGGGTGGGAACATGGTCACCACTGTTTGGTAGGACACTCTACTCCTAGGAGCCTGGCCCCATACAGACCACAGTATGGGTTCACAAGCATTTCTACATTCTGTCGACCCTTGAACATTTGGGGCTTACCCACATAGTGGGGCTGAACCCCACATAGTCGAAAATCCATGTATAACTTTTGACTCCCACTCCCAAGCTTAACTCCTAATAGCCTATTGTTGACTGGAAGCAGTAATGATAACATAAACAGTTGATTAACATGTATTTTGTATGTTCTATGTATTATTTACTGTATTCTTACAGTAAAATAATCTAGAGAAAAGAAAATGTTGAGAAAATCTTAAGGAAGACAAAATATATGTACAGTATTGTACTGTATACAGAAAAATCCACGTAGAAGTGGACCTGTGCAAATCACATCTGTGTTGTTCAAGGTCCAGCTGTAGTTATTTGCTGGCTCACCAAATGATTATTATAATAACCCCGGCTTTTTTTTTAATAACCCTGGCTTTATGTTGCCCTAAAGGCTTAACCTTAGAAGAGATTCAGACATGGCACCTGCTAATAATATTTGCTGCGAAACAACTATATTGTTTTAAGAAATGATTCCACACAGTGTTGAGTTCAGCAAGATGAGACCATTTACAGAGCATAGTAAGATTAGGCATGGTCTCTTTTGCTCCATTCAAAACCATGGATAGAAAATATCAATGCTCTACAAACTGACAAAGAAGCAAGTCGAGGGAGCATCTGCAAAAAGAATTAGCCCCCTACACAAATGTGTCTGGCCAAAAAACATCTTGAAACCCCAACCCTAGGTTTCATAACACCTTATCTACCAGGTGGCCTATTGTAAAGAACTCTTCCTAAGATAAAAGATGGAGAAATGTTCCCTGAGTCAGCCCCAGCAGCCGCCACCATTGTCTATTTTGTCCATAATAAACTCCCACTGAGCGCCTACCGTGTGTCAGACACTGGGTCTGCCCTGAAAGTAGGCTGTTGGTTGATTCTGTTTTGTCTCTTCCTCTTCATTGCCTCCTTACGCAATCTCTCTTGTGCACTGCAAAATAAGGATTGCGGAATTGATTATATTACATTCTCATCTAAGGAAAGAGAACTATATCAAAAAAAGGGATGTGGTCTGTCAAGATCCTTTGCCACAAGAAACAAAACATTAAAGACCTCCAAAGGAAATTTCTATAAGATTAGGCAATTTTTTGTCATTTAAAAATTGTGGGATATCCAGCCTAGAGAAGAGTATATGAAGTATTTGTGTGCATTTTAAAGAATAATTACACAGTAAACATCTCTGTAACCACCCCCGAGGGGAAAGGAAGAGTACCTCTCCAGCAGCCCAGAAAACCCTGACCCTACCCAAGTGTCACTTTACAGTTTCAACTCTCTCTGCCTGAAATTGGGGCGGTGTGTGTGTGTGTGTGTGTGTGTGTGTGTGTGATCATTTCCTTCCTTTTATTTATAGTTTTGCCACTTTTTTTGCATTCCTAAATTATTCATGGTTATTTTTGTCTGTTTTTGAACTTTTTATGAATGAAAACATTCTCTAATCAATTCTCTAAGAATTACTTTATCCTCTTTTTTGTTTTTATTTGATGGATTCATCCATAGTATGTCTAGAATAACCTATTTATTTTGATTGGTGGATAGTATTCTACTACATGAATATAGCAAATCCAGTTATCCATTTAACTACTTACTGATGGACATTCGGTTTGTTCTCAGTTTCTGGTTCTTATAAGCAACCCAGGAGTGAACCTTCATGTATTTGAATTCTGGTATACAAGTGTAAGTGTTGCTTCAGATTGTGTTCCTGGAATAGATGGAAGCATGAGGGCATATACATATTCCAATTTGCTAGATAATATCACATGTTTGCCATAAGGGTTGTGCCAATTTACACTACTATGAGACTTCTCACTGCTTCTCACTGACAACACTTGGTATTTCCAGTTGTTTACTGTTTGTCACCCCGGTGAGTATGTAATGGTATTTCTCATTGTGTGTGTGCTTTTTAAAATTTCTTCAAAATTTATTTATTTGCGAGAGAGAAAGCAAGCGGGGCCAGGGAGAGGAGCAGATGGGCAGGGAAAGAAAGCGGGAAAGAATCTCAAGCAGACTCTGTGCTGAGTTTAGAGCACATGGGGCTTGATCTCAAGACCCTGAGATCTGACCTGAGCCGAAATCAAGAGTCAGACTCTTTACTGACTGAAACACCTAGGCACCCCTCTCATTGTGGGTTTTTTTTTTCTGTAATCCACTTTGAATTAATTAATTAATTTCTTTTCTTATTATTTGTTATTTTTAATTTGTTTTTATTGAAGTTCGATTTGCCAACGTATAATGTAATACCCAGTGCTCATCCCATCAAGTGCCCTCCTCATTGTGTTTTTTAACTGACATCTTCCTAACCATTAAAGCTTTATGGCATCTTTCCTTGGTTTACTAGTTGTTTGGATATCCTCTTATGAAATGCCTATTTAAGCCTTTTGCCCATTTTATTTCTATTTGGGTTGTCTGTCTTTTTCTTATTGATTTATATTATTTCATTGTAATTCATCCATCTAGACTAACAGATATTCACTAAATGCTTACTTTGTTCTGGGCACGTTCTGTGTACCTGGGATACATCAGTAAACGAACAACAAAGATGCTGCTGACTTTGTGAAGATGGCATTCTAAGGGGAGAGAGAGAGCACGAACAATAAGGATAGTAAATAGGCAAATAATTGAATGTAAGGAAGAAAAGAATATGGGACAGGGGGTAGAAAAAGGAGAACATTAAAATGCTAGAGTTCTGAGAGCTGTTGCCTTCACTGAGCAGTCGCCTTTGAGCCGAGGCTTGAAGAGGTGAGGACTTAGTTGGTGTGGCCTAGGTAGTGAGCTAGGGGACAGAAGGAGGCCATGGGGTCAGAGAGTTGAGGGGGTCTCTGGGCTACTGTAAGGACTTTGGTTTGGTTTTTACTGTAAATGAACTGAATAACCACACACATTCCATACAAAGCATAAATCAACTGATAACTGAGTTAGACCATTGGATACACTGAGATAATCAACAGAAAGCAAGAGCATGTTAATTAAAAATAGAGGAAGTGATGCCCTTTTTTAGTCTATAGACAGCCACAGTCCTGGAGTTAGGGAAATGATGCCCAAGACCTAATGAAAGATGTTACTGTGGAATTAAATCAGATGAAAAGTATATGTGTATGTGTGTGTGTAGATCTGTGTGTGTGTGTGTGTGTGTGTGTGCGCGCGCTCTTATAGTGCCGTGAGGACATTTTGGAAGTTTTTTTTCTTTTCTTTTTTTTAAATGGGAGAGTATTAACTTAAGGAAACTTCGTTTGATAGGTTATTTATAATGGAGATAAATGAGCTTCTATATTCAAAAGAACTTGTGTAATCAGAGATTGCTTTTAAAACTTTGAGGTTCATTACTTTTTTATACCATACACAAAAGCATATTCAAAATGGATGAAAGACCTAAATGCAAGACAGGACCTATCAAAATCCTAGAGGAGAACCTAGGCAGCAACCTCTTTGACCTCGGCCACAGCAACTTCTTACTAGGCATGTCTCAGGAGGCAAGGGAAACAAAAACAAAAATGAACTACTGGGACTTCATCAGGATAAAAAGCTTCTGCACAGTGAAGGAAACAATTAGCAAAACTAAAAGGCAGCCTACAGAATGGGAGAAGATATTTGCAAATGGCATGTCTGATAAAGGCCTACTATCCAGAATCTATAAGAACTCACCAAAATCAACACCCAAAAAATAAATAAAACAGTGAAGAAGTGGACAGAAGATATGAATAGACACGTCTCCAAAGAAGACATACAGATAGCTAACAGACACATGAAAAACTGCTCAACATCACTTATTGTCAGGGAAATATAAATCAAAACCACAATGAGATATCACCTTACACTGGTCAGAATGGCAAAAAATAACAACTTAGGAAACAACAGATGTTGGCAAGGATGTGGAGAAAGGGGAGCCCTCTTGCATTGTTGATAGAAATGCAAACTGGTGTAGCCACCCTGGAAAACAGTATAGAAGTTTCCCAAAAAGTTAAAAATAGAGCTACTCTATGACCCAGCAATTGCACTCTAGGTATTTGCCCAAAGGATATAAAAATGCTGACTTGAAGGGTCATATGCACCCTTATATTTATAGCAGCATTAATAACAATAGCCAAACAATGGAAAGAGACCAAAATCTAACTGATGAGTGGATAAGGAAGATGTGGTATATAAATACAATGGAAAATTTCTCAGCCATCAAAAAGAATGAAATCTTGCCATTTACCATGATGTGGATGAACTAAAGTGTATTATGCTAAGCAGAATAAGTCAGTCAGGGGACACCTGGGCGGCTCAATTGGTTAAGTGTATGCCTTTGGC